CAAGATACCGACTTGATACAGCTTCTTCAAGGCGGTCTGGTGGAAAATACCGACAGCTCTCCAGTTAAAAGCCTTGGTGTATCTTACGAGAACCTAACTGTTCAGGGCGTCGAAGCTTCCGCATCCTCAGTAGAGACTCTCCCCAAAGCCATCTGGTACACATTCGGCCCTGGGCTGTGGCATCTGGCCCGCCGCATGATACCCATCATCTCCTCCACCATCCCCAACCATGAAATCATCCACAATGTGACAGGCAACGTCCAGCCCGGGGAAATCATGCTTGTTCTCGGCCGCCCCGGATCAGGGTGCTCCAGTTTCCTCAAAGCTATTGCCAATCAACGCGAAGAGTATGCGGCTGTGGAAGGCGACGTTCGCTATGGTGGGATTCCGGCCGAGGAGCAAAAGCGACATTTCCGTGGCGAAGTTGTTTATTGCGAAGAGGACGACAGGCATTTCGCCTCTTTGACGGCGTGGCAGACTTTGTGGTTTGCTCTGACGACGAAGACGAAGCGACGCGAGAGAGGAAGGACGCCAAATGTCATCGACGTGCTCCTGCGGGTTTTCAAAATGAGGCACGTGTCTTCGACTCTGATCGGAGACGAGCATCTTCGGGGTTTATCTGGCGGTGAAAGAAAGCGCATCAGCCTTGCTGAGACATTAGCCACGCGAGCGGCAGTGGCATGCTGGGACAATTCAACACGAGGCTTAGACGCCAGTACAGCCCTCAGCTTTGTGGAAGCTCTTCGTGCATACACCGATCTAAGCGGCCGGACAACTCTCATCAGCCTCTATCAAGCTAGCGAGTCTATCTACAATCTTGTCAACAAAGTCATCGTCTTTGACCAAGGGCGGGTCATTTACCAAGGGCCTGCCCAGGAAGCTAAAAGATATTTTGTCGACTTGGGATATTATTGTCCACCTAGGCAGTGAGTTCAATCTGACCTCGGTGTTCTTCTAAACCAAACTAATTCGTTCGGGGTAGGACGACTGCAGACTTCTTGACGTCAATTGGTGATACCAACAATGAGAAATTCCAACAGGATCGAGGAGACTTTGCTCACAAGTCACCACAAGAGCTTGAAGAGCTGTTCCACCGCAGTTCGCATCACCAGAGGATACTCGAAGATGTAAGAAAGACACACAATCTATATAGCAATGGCCAGATGTGTACCAGCGAGCTTTTCAGGTCTTCAGTTCACCAGTGTAAGTCTTGTCCGAATATTCATCTTGAAGTCGAAACTTATTCAGTGCCCCAGCGAAATCAAGACGGGTGTCCCCAAATTCCCCCTACACCATTTCATATGTACGCCAAGTTGTTGCATGCATCAAGCGTCAGCTTTGGCTTATGTGGTACGACCGAAACTCCTTTTACGTCAAGCTCGCTACTATCATCGTCAACGCTCTCGTTATCGGGTCTCTTTTCTCCGAGATTGACTCCGGTTCTACCGACTCAACTTTTGCTCGAAGCGGCATGACTTTCATCTCTGTTGGCTTCATCGGTTGGATCCAATTTGCCGAGTTGAAGCCTTCCATCGAAGGTCGTACGATCTTAGAACGTCAACGCCAGTTTTCTTTTTGTCGCCCATCAGCTGTCGTTGTCGGTCGCGCCGTTCTGGACTTGCTTGCCATGTTGATCATGGCGTCGACTTTCAGTTTGGCGTTTTACTTTCTTGCCCAATACCAATTTAATGCAGGAAAGTTTTGGACGTATTTCTTGTTTGTTTACACGGGCGGATTCGCATTGACAGCGCTGTATCGCATGTTGGCAGCCTTTTCAAACACGGTGGACGATGCTATTCTCTACGTTGGGATTCGTGAGTTTTTCTCTGAAATTCGACTCAACTTATCATGGGATAAGCTAACAGCTCCCGAACAGTGATGAATGTAATGTTCATATACACGGGCTACAACATCCCCCGCAACACTTTGATCAACGACGTGCCTTGGTTTGGCTGGTTTGCCTACATCAACCCCCTCACGTTCGCGTTCGAGGCCGTCCTGACGAGTGAGATGACCGGCATCACTTTAAAATGCAATCAAGACCAGCTTGTGCCCCGAGGGGAATTTGCTCTGGAGGGCTTCCAAGGGTGTGGAATTCCGGGTGCCGGAGTCGGCAACACCACAGTAGATGGTCTCGCCTTCTTGAGTGCTTCATTTGATTTGTGAGTCAACAATGCGATGATGGGCCCATCGTGATTCCTAACATTTATTTAGTCACAAAGAAAATATTTGGCGCAATCTCGGCATTCTTTTTGCCTTTTCAATCGCCTTTGTCGTGGCCAATGTGGTAGCAGTCGACATGTTCCGGCTCCAATCCGCAGATACCCAGTCAACCGTCTACGCAAAGCCAAATCACGAGGCTGAATCACGGAAAGTTGAGGGCACAGTCCCAGAGACTGATTTAGGTAACATGGGTCACGGAAACCATGTCTTCACATTCAAAGATCTGGAGTATACCATTCCTTATGGGCATGGAGAAAAGAAGCTTCTCCATGGTGTAACGGGATATGTAAAGCCAGGACAAATGGTAGCACTGATCGGAACATCAGGAGCCGGGAAAAGTACTTTGCTGAATACTCTATCCTTTAGACACAAGTTTGGCACAGTCTCTGGGACTATTGCAGTGGATGGTAAAAGAGTTGATCACATTGGAAAGTCAGAAGTTGGATTTTGTGAGCAGCGGGATGTTCACGAGGGATCAGCTACAGTGCTGGAGGCTCTCCGCTTCTCTGCACTGTTGAGGCAGGATCGCCGGACTTCTCGTGCTGAGAAACTCGCCTACGTTGACCGACTCATCCACCTGTTGGAATTCAATGAGCTCAAGCATGCGCTTGTATCCTCATTGGATATTGAACAGCGCAAGCGAGTAACCATCGGCGTTGAACTCGGTAAGAAATCACAATACCATTGCGCTTCATTGTGCCTGAGGTTCGTGGACTTACCGTACAACAGCTGCCAAACCTTCAATGCTCCTATTTCTAGACGAGCCTACTTCTGGCCTTGATAGCCAATCAGCTTATTCTGTTGTTCGTTTCCTCCGCAAGCTTGCAGACTCTGGCCAGGCCATCATCTGTACGATTCACCAACCCTCCTCTGACCTCATCGAACAATTTGACTCGATCTTGGCACTCAATCTTGGAGGAAATACTAGCTACTTTGGACCCTTGGGAAACAATGGCTCAGTCGTTGTTGAATACTTCGCAGCGCGTGGATCTCGTCCAGCACCTGCACAAAACATTGCTGAGTTCATCCTGGAGACAACATCTCGAGCAGCAAGCAGCGTAAAAAATGACCAGGAACCAATCGATTGGGACGAAGAGTGGCGCAAAAGCGGAGAGGCAGACACAGTTGTCAAAGAGATTGACCGATTGGCTGCTCTCGGGCTTGAGAATTCCCAAACTCGAGAGCCCAGGGTTGAGTCATTCTCAGCGTCGACTTTCCTTCAATGTCAGCTCCTGACCAAACGAACATTTTTAAAGTACTGGAGAGAGCCACACTACTTTTATGGAAGAATTTTCATTCATTTGACCATGGGGATTCTGGTTGGCTTTGTAAGTGTCTCGATCTCATCGTCCCAGATGCTCATTCCTAACTAGAAGCACAGACTTTCCGAGATAGCTCCAACACCATTGCGTCCATCCAAAACCGCATGCTCAGTTCTATCATTATGCCCTTCTTCATGACTGCTCCAGTTGTAAACAGCGTTGTCAGTAACTTTTTCACCTTCCGCGATCTCTGGGAGGACAGAGAACTGCCTAGCGGAACTTATTCGTGGGTAGCATTCTGCACCGCAAATATCATCGCCGACATACCAATATCCATTTTGGCTGGTACTGTCTATTTTGTTCTCTGGTATTTCCCGTCAGAGTCCCCCATAATTAGTTCCGTGTCAGGATATGCCTACGCGTTGACTATCCTATGGGCTCTATTCATGCCAAGTTTTGGTCACTGGATCGGTGCATTCGGCCCAACATATCAGATAACCTCCAATGTAAGACTCCTTATCCCTTAAGTATGACTAGCCTTACTAACACTTGGAATACCTAGATTCTACCTTGCTTCTTTGTCGGACTGTCACTGATAACCACAACATTCACCCCTTGGCAATACATGCCAGCCGTGTGGAAATACACAGTCTACTACATGAACCCAGTGACCTGGTTTAGTCGGGGGATTCTCTCCATGGTGCTTCCTTTATATTCCATACAGTGCAGTCAGTCTGAACTGGCAAGATTCAATCCGCCCCCGGGGAGCACCTGCGCTGAATACGCAGGCCACTTCGTAAGCGAGGTAGCCACATCCGGGTACCTTCAGAACCCGAACGATACTTCCAACTGCGGGTTCTGCCAATACCAAAATGGTCTCGAGTACATCGAGACTCTCAACATTCACAGTGGAGATCAATGGCTGGCCCTTGGCCTTATGGCCGTCTTTGTTGTCTCAAACTGGGCTCTGCTCTTCTTTTTCGTCTATACCGTCAGGTTCAAGGGGTGGACATTTGGCGTCGCACATTTAAACAGACTCTTTTTCAAGGCAAGGCGAAGTTTTCAGCGGACGCGCAAGGGAGATGATGTGGAGGTCTAATCTTTCACCGACGCAACTTGCGGCCACACAGACTCGATCTCTGACAAGGATGTCGGAAACAACACAGGGAGCTACGTGTGAGGCAAGCGAAACTTCATTTTTATAATCCGCTCGTCAGAAAATGCAGGATGTTATGGAAAGGGTGAAATGGCAAGCCTCATCTCCATTATGCCCCATGTTTGGTCAGAAGTAGCGAACCCCCCCCCAAGTGCTCCCGTTATAGGCAGAAGTAATGAAAGACCAACTGATGAATCTGAGCTTATCTGTTCCCCAAACAAATTAACTTAATAGTATTATTGTATTAGATCATTTGGTATTAAAGCGAAACAATATCAGAACTCCAAGTGACAATATCAGAACTCCAAATAACAATACCACAACTCCAAGTAACAATATCAGAACTCCAAATAACAATATCACAACTCCAAGTACTTTCGTATCATGTGGCCGTATGCTGTTCTGAATACCATCGAACGACAAGAACCCCATGAGGGCCGCTTTAAATCTTCATCCATAGAGGTTGGTTGCGGTCTGCTCGGGAGGTGTTGTAGGCAAAGTTCGGGCTTCTGGATCGATAAGTCCCAAAACATCTTATTATTGAAAATCCACACATTTGCAGGCTTTTCGAGATCACTCCTTTTGAGACTGCCCTCATGTCGAATGTCTGGGTGAGCGTCTGGGATCATCCCGAAGGCATCAATAGGGAGGAGCCAGAACCCGTAGGCGGAAGGAAGTGTCCGATCATCATCTCGAAAGGGCCTTCCCCATTTTGTATAATACCTTATCGTCCTCTTCCACAGCTTCTTCTCTTCCTTAAGTGACATCCGTGCTTCCTCGCGGGTCTCCACTCGCCTGTCACCACATGTGATCATGAAGCGATACTTAACTGGACGACTATCGCTTGTAATCTCCCATCTATCCAGAAGCCTGAGCCATCTATAGATCTGCTCCCGCGGGTCCCCAAGTGGTAGGTAAACCTTTTTCAACTCTTCTTCAATGGGTCGAGGATCCTGCGGCAATCGCTCGAATCTGCAAACAGAGGCTAGGAGCGGCCGTGACCGAGAAAGGTGGCCTTTTCCAATAAAAGAGGCTGAGTTTGGAATTGCACGCCCAAGGGCTCCATCGTATCCGAAAATGACGGAGCGTAGTCTTGCTAAAGCTTGACGTAAAATATCTTGATGATCCACCTCTTGGAACAACTCGTCAAAGTGTCTCGTGATGGTAAAGCCTGAGGGAAATGCAACATTTACTAGCCCGGTATGATAGGGGTCAAGGTTCCAGATCATGTGTGCGAATCTAGCGAAGTAAATATCAAGCTCTGGATGGAGGCAGAGGGTGACTTGTCGCGCGGGGACTCTCTCTTCTTTAAAGTAGCAGGGGACCTTGACGCGATAAAAAGAAGCCGCAAGCTGTCGTGACTCACAGCAGACACGGAAGAGCTTGCTCATATGGTCCCTGGTTCTCAGGACGATTATAAAGCCGTCTGAATGCGTCTCAAGATATTCCTTAGCTGCACGCCCGGTCTCAAATGGCTCATCCTCATGTGATAAGTCCTCAGCTGTGGCTCCTGGCTGAAGGTCCACTCGGAGAAGGCGCTCATAATAGAGAGAATGCCTCCATATCTCTAGTCGGATTTCTGGGGGAAGTCGGGGGAACTGCAGAAAGCTGCTCTTGACTTTCAAAGGCACTGGGTTGAAGATTTTTGTTGGTTGATCAGGACTGACTGCCATTTTGAGCATTAGAGGCACCAAAGAGATGAGAACGTGACCGAAATTCCAACTTATGTGTTAGCAGAAGAAAAGGGCGGTGGCCGGTAAATAAATAATCTTGCAGGTCTTAGCAACGCTTGTTCGAGAGGGGATTCCAACGACACTGATTGGTCAGTATCGTCTACACTCTAAATGCGCTTGCGATAGCTTTTATGTGGTCTCTTTCAAAGATCTTGCGCTGGCGATGGCTGTAGCGTAGACTTAGATCAAGACCGATCGATCTTGAATACGAGCATACTTGGTTTCATGTTGCTGGACCAATCGGGCTGGGGAGGGCGGCTTTGAGATACGAAGAAAGAGAAACAACCTTTCTTCGCCCAGAACCTTAACAGCAACTCTAGCTTCAAGCGGGACTTCTGACTTGCATGAATTGTGTTGCTAGTGCCTGTTCGGAAGGCTCTCCACGTGATGTGCAGATATTTGTGAAGTTCTTAAGCTCCGTGGCCGGGCGAGTAGGGGCGATGAATATCTAGATATGTATGTAATTATAAGTAATACCAACCCCTTCTTCTTAAGTCTAACCATAGTATAATAGACTAATATGCAGGGAGCTACATATGAGGCAGATGGGATTTCATTAAAATAGTTTTTTTGGGAGAAAATAACTAAGCTAGGAATAATGCTGTGCTCTAAAATACGGAAACAAATCTGCTACTTCGTTGCCAAAGCAAGTGAATTCTACCATCCATATCTTCAGTCGTGCCTAGTCATGAAATCACTATGAGCCCCACCGTTACAACTTGTATGTGTTGCTGCAGGCACCTGTATCGATGTGCTGGCTTGTTCCTACTGATTCCGGTGATATTTGGTGCTTCTCTTCCGCCCATATGTTGCTTCCTCAGCCTCCATCGCTGCCAACTTATTTAGCTCGACAAGATCCTCCTCGCTGGGTTCCTCGACTGGTGTTGCTTTCGGCTCTCGCAATCGAAGGGGGTCTCGCGGCCTCGGCGACTTTGGAACGGCACTTGAGGAATCATGTGCATCGAGCTCCCTTTGTTTCTCGACAGCCTGCTTGGCGTCGTCGCCCATATTTTGCCACAGCCACTTCTCGTCTTTCATTTTGTTCAGATCAGTTCCCAGATATCCCTCTCCCTCTCGCCAGCGGTTCCACGCCTCAAATCCCAAGAAGGAGAGGAACGTATTGATGACATATTGCTCTAGATTCAGGGCTGGCAACCCGCACGCGTCCCATAGCATCTGGTGCATGCACACGATTCGGAAGCATCGCTGGGCCTCTCCGTGCGTATTTGAAATGATTTTGGAATGATTGCCGCTCCGGCTTCGTAGGTAGCGCCGCATAGGCGAATCCTCGTTGGCATATGTGTAAGGGACCCATCTCTCGCATTCCTCCTCCTTACCCAGCGCGTCGGGAAAGCACTTGAGAATCTCGAGGAAGAAGAGGACTTCAAGGGACTCTCCCAAACCAAGCCCCCAGCCAGTGGTATTTGTTTCGAAGCGTCTTCGGGTCCAGAGTTTGGCGTTCTTCGGTGCCAGGTCCTTGAGCGGGATTTCCCTGCGATAATGGGCCATGTATAGCAAAGGCCCAATCTGCTCACATGCCAATAGCGCCCGAACCGCATCTGCCCAGGGCTGGAAGTTCTCCTGGGGCTCGGTCCAGAACGTGAGCCGCTGCACAGCTGGTGTTAATGCATTCTCCTTGGCGCTGCAGGGTGTGAACTTGGTCTGGAACTCGTCGAGCACCGCGTCCTGAAAGAGTTTGTTGTCAGATGAGATTTCTTCCGCCTGAAGAGCATCTTGCCGTATTTTTGACCCATCATCGATAGCGCCGTGAACTGCTTTCGCAAACTTGACTGCAAACTTGTGCACCTGCGCTGTCCACTCCTCTCGTGAGTCTTTGGGGGTTAGAATCAGAGGGCAAACCCCATCCTTCCATTTGGCTTGATACACGCGCTTGTACCACTGATCGTGGCGCTGGGTATTGACGGGCACAAAATGGAATGATTGCTTGATGAGCTGATCGAGGTCGGTTTGTAGCTGCTCCATTGTAACGTCTGCAACAGCGGTCTGTCTATTTTCGAAAGGCGATGAATGAAAGAATACAGAATACCCAGAGACGGGAGCAATCGATGGTTCTATTCTTTATACGAGTCCTCATCAGCAATGATTCACATATTTACGGCGAGTGACTCATCAAGCAGCCTAAAAATAGCGACTTTTGCGCCTGTGATGCGCTCCGCCACGGCTTTTGTCATCTTGAAAGCTTTTACTTCCGTGCTCCTGGCACTTTGGATCTTTTACTGTATGATGAGCTTCGATTGCCCTTACAGTCATTTAGCCTAAGCTGGTCGGAAACAGTGATAACTTTCTTGATTTTGTTTTATCATAGCGCTATAATTTGGCAAAAAAAAAACACCTAAGATGGACCACATTCCGTTCACAGGTCAATCTGTTTGCAAGGAAATTCGTTCAAATATATTAGAAGAATACAACTGTTCGATCGATATCCCATCCTAAACTCTTCAACGCAGTTGACACACCCTTCTCCATTGCTGGAGGACCGCAAACCAGTGCAAGGGTATCCTCCAGCTCATCTCCCGTTGGTGTAGACGGGGGAGGGGGCAGGTGTTCTCCAAGACATTTCGCATCGACATACCCTCGACCCATTTTCCAATCATCCCCAATAGCTTTAGAACTCAACACATACCAAATTCGAATGTGTTGTTTCAGGAGAGACGCGATCTCTTCAAGCTCCTCACGGAGCAAAATGTCTTCTTCTGTTCGGTTACCAGATACCAACCAAATTTGGATAGGGTCATCTGTCTCGTCTGGAGGGAGGGCCTGGAACTCATCCGCAATGGCTTTCAGTGTAGTCCAAATGGGCGTGATGCCACTCCCTCCGCAAATCATAACCAGCCTCTTGATTGAACGGCAGCGATTGCCAGGGTTCCATTGGACTTGCTTATTGCCAAGGTAGGTGAACTCTCCAACAGGGCCCTTGAGCTCTATTGTTAACTCCTCAGACTCGGCACCTACTGGCGCGTTTTCAAGCAGCATGGTCATCTTTCCTCCCGGATAATCCCCCTCCTTGCTGTTTGGAGGGGCGCCAGGGAAGTAGACCTTGATTAAGATGTCCAGATATCCTTTCTGGGAATTGCTGCTGTATGGGGTATATGCGCGCTGTACCGTTTCTACTTCTCTCGGAGTAGGGTTCGTTCGTTTTACTCGAACGTATACGTGCTGGCCGACCGGCAACCCTACTAATTGGTCCTCGTGTGAGAGCGCGAATCTGAAAATTCGAGAATCATGCGAAACAACCCTCTTGGAGGCCAGATATGTTTTCTTCCACCTCTTTGGCTGCAGGAATGGCTTGCTGGGATCTTCATCTTCAGCGTTATCTCCAGATGCTTCCGCGGAGATGGATCCTTGGAGCTTGCCCAGATGATAGTCGCGTAGCATCCGCTTGGCATCAACCGAGTGAATGGCCATGAAGTCTTCAGTGGCATCTTCTCCAGCCACGATGCGAATGGACTGCTCGCCTCCAGGATGACCCTCCAGAAACTTGGTCCCATCGTAGACATGGCCGTGGACCACGAACCAAGGTTCTGGGCCCTCTGGATCTGCGTGCTGTGCTAACTCGTCTGGTGTGATTGCCACTGACGACTTGGAGCTGTCTAACATCTCCTTTAGGATATCTTCTTTTGCACTTGAAGCATCAGGCTGTGATGTGGCCGTGTTGGATGCACTGGCACTGTAAGGACTCTCTCCGCCAAAATTAGGGAACCTGGGGTCGGTTCCAGCATCTTTCATCCGTTGCATCCAGCCGCCAGCATCTCCAGCCACAGGAGCCGGGTGCTCGAATCGGATGGATTCTTCTTTCTCATCTTTGTGGACAGCGACACGGAACCACCAAGAGTTCATCATCGAGGTTGGGCTCCAGTACATGTCGCGGGGCATCGTCTGTAGCGCCTCATCCATGGCTCGTACTGCAATCACCCTCACATCTGGGCCCACTAAATCAGACATAATATCGAGATCCAGCCTCCAAAAGCACCAGCAGAAGCTCATCTCACTCATGCTCAGATCCAGGGTGCCAAAGAAGGGGTGGTTCTGGACTGGGTAGAGGCGATACAGATCTTCGGGATATGTGATATCTGCTAGCCTCCAAGTCTTGCCGTCGTCGAGTGTAACTTCTACACGGGTGATCCGACGACCACCTCCCGTGTAAGCGTACCCTTCAATAGGTAACGTTTGACTTGAGTTTGGTTGAAGAGTGACAATCTGATTGTGGTCGGGGGAGCAAATAGCGGCATTAACGTTGAGGTCATTGATGATGTACTTCGGGTCATACCACCATTTGTCCTCATTTCGGGCTTGATCAGCCGACACCACTGTAGGGAGAAGCTTATTGTCAAAAAAGTGAAGATGGTGTTGACTTTCGCGATCCGATATCTCGATGCGCTGCAGCCATTTGACCATACGACCACCGATCTGACCCGGGACAACCAAGCGAAGAGGATACCCGTGATCGGGCGACAAGTCTTCTCCATTTAATGCCCACGCAATGAGCATGCCCTTTTGCCGGTCCATAGCCCAATTTAGTCTTTGTGACGTTCCATATTTGCCTTTGGGGAGTTCATCTGCCCCTTCGAATATGACGTGGCGTGCGCGCCCGGGCACGACGGTTTCGTATGAAGGGTATGCTGTTAGTAGCGGATTTTTAGGTCTGCAATAATCGAGAATGTCGGCCAGGTAGACTCCTGTGAAGAGACCGGTCGAAACCCCGGCAGCACCCCAGTTGAACCCAAGACCCTTTGTAACGACATTTTGTTCTTTTCGGCGGTTACCAGCACACACCAAAGTGACAGGTAATGTGATCGTGGGAAACATGGCTTTCAAGTCGTCGACGGTGAACTGGAACTCGTTCTCCACGAGACCATGCACACGGAGCTTCCATGGCTTTGCTTCATCTCTGGTCACTCGCGGCACGTATCCGTGATTGCGAACGTAGAATAGATTCTGCGGCGTGAGGAAGCCTTTGCTGAAAAGTGTAGAGAGGGGAGCTTCCACATTAAACGGATGCTTGCCCGTCAACCGGACCAGACGCTCGTCTCTATTTACCCAGTTATCTGGAGTCGGTCCGTCGACGGCTAATGGTATCGTTGGTTCGATTCTGGGGACAGGAGGTAACAAGTTCGAATCGTAGTATGACCGAGGGGCAAAGAGTTCGACGCTCTCTGGTTCATCGAAGTTCTTCGAATACAGTGAAAGATAGGATGCTGGTGATGTTAAACCGTCGGTTGTGTCCGCGATAGACGCAGCTGAACTCCAGACATTGTCATCGCCATCAGAAGTGGTCACTACTGAGGAGGCGAGAGATGCCCAAGATTTTGATGCCATGGTTGCTGTTTATTATTGTTCACATTTAAGAGCACTGGATTTCGGGATGTGATGTACATGAAACTGATTGAAAATGTGCAATCAGACGCTCAGTTCAAGGCCAAGGAAGTCACGGAAACCGCAGAAGTGAACCGGGATTTGTCCCAGATTTCAGGGTACCGGGACACAAACAAAAAGATAGAAACTGGGGCTATTCAAGGTCCACCCCACCTGTCTACTTGTTTCCTGGAATGTAGTCCATCAGCAGTAGTGCAGAGAGCGCAACTCCCCACTGCTCTCTCATACGTGACCCGGACGACGTCAAGATACGGTGGAGCACAAGCAGATGGGGTTAACAATTCAGATAGCGGCATTCATCAATTTGTCAATAACAAGAATTACGCCATGCTAATGGAATGATAAGGGCATCGGTTAGACATGCATGTGAAACTAGGCTACCGGTATTGCCCGTGGGTTATGATGTGATATCCATCATATCCCTGTCCTGCCCTTGGTGGTATGATAAGAGGTCCGGGAGCGTTGCATTACATGGCGAGAAAGGAGAAAATTTACAAAGTTTGGCTTCTCCGCGGAGAAAGGGCCCTCTTGAATAAATAGACTTACTCAATGGTAAACTAAAGCTTAGCTTGACCAGGTAGATTGAGCTAGATAAGATGCCCGCCCGCACAGAGATAAACTTGCAGATAACACAGCTTGATAAGAAACTAAACCTTTCTTATTGGTTGCCCCCAGAATCTGAAGTCTGTCCGAGCAATTCTGGGGATGAGCTTTCTCCGCGGAGAGAGCTGAGATGGCGATGCTGCAGGGTTTTATACCCGCAGGCAATATTATGGCAACACCGAACCAATTGAATCCTCCCAATGTCGCTCAACTTATCAAGCAGCTGGGAGTCAATACAGGGTGACAGCGGCCGGCTCTGCCTCCCACCTTGCCACCCTCACAGAGAGTGGCAGAACGTCACGCTAAGGCCCCACTATCTCGTTCTAGTTCCTGGCCGATGGAGATCTTCAGGTTAATCCTGTAATCGGGATCGCTGATTGGACAGAGCATTGAGATACTTGAGTGATGTGTAAGTGACCTCTGGCGTATCAGTGCCTACCACACCCTCACAATGTCGTAGTCCAATGAGAGTGTTTGATAATCAAGCAAGATAGCTGCATATCTTATGGTCAAAAAGGTAGCGGAGCACCTTGCATACAATGCTGTAGAACAAAGTCTCACACCTATGGGGGAAGATTATTACCTTTCTTTTATCTTCCTTGTATGGTTCTTATAACATCGTCCCACCGCATCACTTAACAGGAGATCGGCCGTAAGAGGTTTATCCAGCTGCTTCTTGTCTTTGCACATCCGTCACCACCATGACGCCCTCTGCGGTAGTCATAGATGCACCCGTTGCAACCAAATCAATCAATGGCGGAATAACACACACGGAACCCAAAGAAATGGCGCCGGGGACTAAAAAACGCGCCGCCGTCATTGGACTGGGAATGGTCGGCGTCGCATTCATTGAGAAACTCCTCAAGTACGATGCTGAAGGCGGCCACGACCAATGGGAAATCACAGTCTTCGCCGAAGAACCCCTCATCGCATACAACAGAGTCGGCCTAACACAATACTTCACAAACCGCTCCAAGGAATCACTATACCTAAACCCACTAGAGTGGTACACGTCCCACAGCCAGAAGCTAACGTATCACCTTGCCGACCCTGTTGTCTCTCTTGACGCCGAGGCCAAGACGCTACAAACCTCAAAGGGTGTTGTGTTCTCCTATGATGATTGTATCATCGCCACAGGCTCTGATTCCGCCTTGCCTCCTTACATCACGCAAGAGCGCTTCTATCAAACCAAGGGCTGCTTTGTGTACCGAACCATCAAGGATCTCGAAGACACCATTGATTATGCATGCCAGGCTCCGGCCATTCTAGGCCGCCGCATCCGAAAGGCAGCTGTAATAGGAGGTGGCCTCCTGGGCCTAGAGGCGGCCAAGGCCCTTTTAGATCTCGAAGAGGTCGACCAAGTAGTCTTGGTTGAACGAAATCGCTGGGTCCTGAGTCGTCAATTGGACCAGGAAGGCGGTACCCTGGTCTTGGAAAAAGTCAGGGGACTCGGAGTACAGGTCCTTCTTCAAACCAGGGTTCACAATGTGGTTTGTGAGGACGGCCGCCTCACTGGTCTTTCTCTCGAAGGAAAGAACGGAGAGGCCGGCGACATAGTCGATCTTGATATGCTGGTATTCGCCGTTGGAATCACGCCCAGAGATGATCTTGCCAAAGCGACTGGTCTCCATACGGCAAAGCGTGGAGGTTTCGTTGTTGATCCTTGGCTAAAGACGAACCTCCCAAATATCTATGCCGTGGGAGAATGCGCCAGTCTGTTTGATCAAACCTATGGACTCATTGCTCCGGGCGTTGAGATGGCCGATGTACTCGCATATAACCTGACAGAAGGGCCTCACCATCACCCAAGGGAAATGAAGGCACCTGACGTCAGCACGAAGCTCAAGCTCATGGGTGTTGATGTTGCTTCCTTTGGAGACTTCTTCGCCGATCGGGGAATAATCTCAAAACCACTTCCTGGATCAAGGCCAAGAAGGGGGGCCGCGCAAGAGGTCCACGACCTGTCGCCCGAGGAGGTTAAGAGCAAGGTCAAGGCACTCACATATCGCGACCCCTTTTCCGATGTGTACAAAAAATACATCTTCACTGCCGATGGAAAATACATTCTCGGCGGCATGATGGTAGGGGATGTCAAAGACTATGTCAAATTAGTGGCACTTTGCAATAAGCGGGAGCCTATTGGCAAATCGCCCGCAGAATTCATCATCGGGGCGAAGAAGGAGGGTGAGGAGGAGGGCGATGACTTACCAGACGACGCACAAGTTTGCAGCTGCCACAACGTCACAAAGGGCCACATCGTGGAATGTGCCAAGACCAAAGGCATCCGTTCTTTTGGCGAGGTCAAATCCTCCACCAAGTGCGGAACTGGCTGCGGTGGCTGTATACCCCTGTCGCTCAGTATCTTCAATCGAGCCCTCAAGGACGCAGGCGTCGAGGTCTCCAACCATCTTTGCCACCACTTTGCCTATTCCCGCCAGGAGCTCTTCCAGATCATCAAATTCAAGAAGCTCAAAGACTTCTCGGCTGTCATGAGATCTACAGGCAAGAAAGCCGACAGTCTTGGCTGCGAGACGTGCAGGCCCGCCGTGGGCTCTATCCTGAGCTCCTTGTACAACGAGTGGATCATGAAACCTGCGCTGCGGCAGACCCAAGATACCAACGATCGGTATCTGGCCAATATGCAACGCGACGGGACATACTCAGTAGTCCCCCGGCTTCCAGCTGGTGAAGTGACACCGGCCGGGCTCATTGTTATTGGAGAAATCGCTGCCGAGTACGGATTATATACAAAGATCACAGGTGGTCAACGTATCGATCTATTTGGCGCTAAGAAGCAGGATCTTCCCGCCATCTGGGAAAGGTTAGTCAAGGCAGGATTCGAAAGTGGCCACGCTTATGGCAAGTCGCTCCGAACGGTGAAGAGTTGCGTCGGCAGCACGTGGTGCCGTTATGGACTTGGCGACTCGGTCGGTTTCGCATCCGAGATTGAACACCGCTACAAGGGAATTCGTGCTCCTCATAAATTCAAAGGTGGCGTTTCCGGCTGTGTCCGAGAGTGCGCTGAGGCGCAGAGCAAGGACTTCGGCCTCATTGCCACACCCAAGGGTTGGAACGTCTTTGTAGGTGGAAACGGTGGTGCCAAACCCCGCCACGCCCAGTTGATTGCGGAAGACGTGGCAAAGCTTCAGGCGGTCAAGATTTTGGATCGATTCATCATGCTGTATATTCGCTCCGCGGATAAGCTTGAGAGAACTGCTCGGTGGGTTGAGAGATATCCAGGTGGTCTCCCAGCTCTCAAAGACGTCATTGTGAATGACAAACTTGGCATTTGCGATGAATTGAGCAAGGAGATGGACGATTTAGTTGGCACCTACCATTGCGAATGGACCAATGTAGTCCGTGATTCAGGGCGCCGAAAAGCGTTCCGACAATTTGTGAATACGGATGAAGTACAGAAGGTGTCCGAGTCCATCTCGGAACGCAGCCAGGAAAGGCCTGCTGACTGGCCTGAGGATAGCACTCCTCTCCGCTTTGATGTTCTTGATGTTGCCAAAGAAGCCAAGTGGGAATGGCGCGAGGTCTGTAAGCTGTCGGATCTCGACCGGCAACAAGATGCCCCTACTTCGGCCACGGTCAAATACGGTGATGTACAGCTAGCTGTCTGGAACATACCGGGCCGTGGTCTACGCGCTTCACAGAATATGTGTCCGCATCGCCGAGCGTTTGTCCTAGCCGATGGTTTGATTGGACAGGATGAACAGGACCGTGAGTATGTATCATGTCCGCTTCACAAACGCAACTATTATCTGGACCCGAAGCCTAGCAACGGCGGAGGCAAATGTTCTGATTCAGACTATTCAATCATGACGTTTGAGGCTAAAGAAGACGAAGAAAATGACGCTGTTTTGCTCCGTCTTCCTCCGACTGATGCTTTGGATGCCGTCCTCAGTACATCCAAGTGGATGCTGAAGCAGGCTGAGGAAGAGGCCAGCCATCTGGCAGGGGTTCCAGATCACTCCATTGAAATTTCTGGTCCTCTCCCATCAGCCGAAATGGAGGAACGGTTGAGGCTCTTGGATGGAATCACGAGCCAAGAAGCGCCCGCGGCTAAGATCTCCTGTGGAAGCTCTGCTCTAGATTGGTGACATTTCATTAAGTACTAGTAACCATGTAATTTGCTACAGATAGCAACATAATATCAAACTTCCGGTGCATAATCTTCTCACAATGACATGCTCTGACATTGGTCATCACAGGCGTATCTGTCTGGGATTGACGCAAACCCTTCCTTAGCCTTGTGATCGCCTTCAGGCCCGCCTTTCCAGCCTTCACGTAAATTTAGATTGTGTAAGTCGGGAGTCGGTCGTCTCCACGTGTCTCTTAGTTTCGGGTTGGCGGCCGCTTAGACCAAGACTAAGCCCAATACTGAGGCTGAGCCCACCGGTTTTGGCAGTCTTATCTCGACCTATCACAGCTCAGATATTTATCTACCGTGCTGACGTTCTAGATCCCCACAGACGAGAAACTTCCCACATGCAAGCAACATCAACGACCGTGCTTGGAGCAAGGTGATGTACGGGGGGCATTTCACTCTCCGCGGAAATGCCAGATTTCGATATCACATTCGAGAAAAAAGCCTTTCATTCGTAGATAAGGCTGGAGTCCCCACGCCGGCCTGATACGATCAGCGTCATCCACGAAGCCAGCATCGTGCGATAACGAGGAAAAAATCAACTGCCCCCGGTACTTGCAGATGAAAATTAAGGTACCGAGACTGCAGGTTAATGCTCCCCACGATCTTCTCCGCGGAGAAGCCAGTTTCAGTGGTTTGGTATCTACCGCTGCCATTGGACTGAGATAAACAGCCGTCCGGGGGCCTCCTTAGCCTCAGTTACATTCCGAATCCACCCTAATTAGGAGTTAATCGGCCGGATGCCATCATTATCGCTGCTTGGAGATTTGAAACTCGTTATCGTCCAATAGAATTGCTTCTTTCTTTATGCACGCGCCTTGGCCATCGTTTTTTGTCCGCATCTCACACTCAACGATACACAAAATGATACGGTCGAAGAAGTTATTCAGTGTTTTCATGCAGGGATAGCCGCAATGAGACATCTCTGAGATAAGAGACCTCGTACGAAATCGTGAATTAAGTATAAGATCATCTTCCAACCCTCGGAAGATCTTGAATCATTTCCAAATCAGCTCAACAGCCATCAAATCAACAGCCATCCACACTGGCAAACTCCTATTCAACGCCTGGAGCTTTTACAATAATCTACAAACATAGCCTGGATCAAAATTATCTCTCGGCAATTTGCGCTCGCCCTTCTTTAAATTCAGAAAGACCATATTCTGAGCACCATATTACAAGCTACCGCGTCGCAGAAGTCTGATATCTCACGCCTGCTACCCCCTGCCGGCATAATGTCTCCCTCACCAGATGCTGGGAGCCATGAGAAGGCCCAAAAGTCCAGTAAAAACACACCAGCCAGCACGAAATCAGGCTGGACCTCGCTTTGGAAACGCGCCGAGGTCAACCCCCTGAACGGGAAAAGTATGACTTTCCCTCTCTTTCGGTTCTGGGACCCATACTCCACCGCCTTCTGGCTAGCCACCCTGGGCTTCTTTGTTGCATTTCTCTCATGGTTTGCCTTTTCGCCCCTGGTTCCTGAGGCAGTGAAGGATGATCTCGGTCTTACACAGGACCAGGTGGTCAACTCTAATCTGGCATCCCTCGGTGGCACGGCAATCGTTCGCCTCATTGCCGGGCCTTGCTGTGATAGGTTCGGCCCCAGAAAAGTCCTTGCCGCACTGCTCATCCTTGGTGCCATCCCTTCAGGCTTGGCTGCTCTTGTTGTCAATATTGAGGGTTTGGAAACAGTGAGATTCTTCATCTCGATCCTTGGAGGTACTTTCGTGCCCACGCAAGCCTACACAACAACTTTCTTTGACAAATCCATCGTCGGTACTGCAAATGCATTCTCTGGCGGTTGGGGCAATCTTGGTGGAGGTGTCACTGTTGCCGTCATGATCGGACTCTACGAGCGATACATCAAGGCCGGGTACAGTGCCCATCTTTCATGGCGTCTCTGCTTCCCTACTCTCCCCGTTCCCTGTCTTATTCTCGTTGCTGCTATGATCCTTGTTTTTGGCAAGGACCATCCTTTCGGGAGGTGGTCCCAAAGAAACCAAGTTAGCGGCCCCGAACCAATGTTCATCGAGGGTGTGCATGAGGAGTCCAAAGGACAGGTTCTGCGAAAGAAAGACGTGGAATCTGGGATGTCGTCTTCTGACAGTCCCAACACAGACGAGTCCCAGGCCTCAGCTAGCACTAGTATCTACGAGATCGATACTGCGCAGCCAGAGCCACTCACTCTCTCTTCTCTGTTCAAAATTCTCTGCGATTTACGCGTTTGGATGTGCTTCAGCTGCTATCTCCTCACCTTTGGCCTCGAGACTGCCATGGATGCCGCCCTACCAGGCCTCATGAACCAATTGTTCAAGAGCGAGACATTTACAATTGCCGACGCTGCCTATGCTGCATCCACCTATGGTCTTCTGAACTTGTTCGCTCGTCCATTGGGTGGTATTGTTTCCGACATGCTCTATGCTCGCTATGGGCTCAAGTCCAAGGTGCTCTGGCTTCTCGGAACTTCATTGTCCCAGGGCGTTGCAATGATCGGGCTCGGCGTATACATCAACGGCAACCACGCCACCTTGGGTGGAGTGATGGGCTTCATCGTCCTCATTGCCGTCACCGGATTTGCCGCCAATGGCGCTTGCTATTCAGTGTATGGTCATCTACGACCAAAGAACGTCGGGGCTGTGGCAGGCATCGTGGGTGCAGGCGGCAACGTGGGCGGCCTGTTCTATACCCTGATTTTCAAATACCAGGCAGGAACTCGGATTGCTGCAACAATCGCCAATCCCGCGGGCCAGAATTCATTGGGAAACAAGTTCTGGATTGCTGGAGTGGTCAATTTGGTTGGCGTATTACCGTTCTTTTTCGTGCCTCTCGGGGATGCAGTCTAGGGATAAGATGGCGAATTTAAACTATATCAGCGTAATTACGAATTTTCAGGGAATTAGCAGGTTTGAGAGAGAGTATATTCAATGAAGACTCTTCTACTTTCATAATAATACAGAGATTTTACCAAAATAATGTTGAACAATGTATATCATCGTTATTCAAAAGGCATTTAAATCCATGCCCGAAGTAGAATTTCAATGGCTCTTGCTTAAAACTTCAATACAACTGACTAGCTCTCTTCCAGTCTCGATCAAGAAGATCTGGAAGCGATTTAGGCTAACCAAGATGAAACCACATCAGCTAATCCAGTCGCCAACCACTCTTCATCAAGAGTAGATGTCCCATCAAATCCATGTTCTCCATCTCGGGCCGCGAGATGAAATTTCAGCTCAGGGTCTAGCCGAAGCAAGTCATTCTGTAGCATGAAGCTTCCTTCAATGGGTACGACTGTATCGTCTCTCCCATGCATCACAAAGACACCACCTCTGGGGAATCTGGACCCATCCTCCAGTCTTTCCAAGATAGCGTTTTGCCTTTGATCCGGAGGGAATGAGTCCCGGTAAGCCCCGCGCTGGATGAACGCAAACATCAACTCAGTCCTCTCACCTTTTGGGTCGCTAGACACAATAGATGGTAGCCTTCCATCTTTAACTTTGGCCATGTGCTCCTTGATCATATTCAAGGGCATTTGAGGCATGCCAAAGACGGACTTTTCACAATCCTCTGTAAAATATGAGGATCTAACATCGAACACCGGGTATGCAGCCATGACAGAGCGAACGCTTTCAGCATGATTCATTCAAGCCAGTTATGAGGCTCAGGAAACCGCCTGCACTCTCGCCTGACGTGATGATGCGAGAAAGGTCCACCTCCACCGCGCCATTCGTTTAGTTTCGTACGAATCCCGGCAGCTCAGTCTGGACCCAGTTCCAAAAGTCTTCAATGTCTTCCATAAGTTCATCCAAAGATGATTCGGGAAGCATTCTATAGTCGGGCGTTACAATCAAAGCCGAATGTCGAGCGGCAAGAGCTAGTTGCCAGGGGCTAAAATAGTTGGGAAACAGACGAGAAGCGGCGATCCAGCCTCCAGCATGGAAACGCATCATAAGTGGCCGAGGTCCAACAAGTTTCATCTTAGCCAACAGAGTCTTTGGCACTAAGACACTGCATCCTATCGAATGACCGGAGACAACTTTGTATGTGCAATCGAATATCTCAAACAAATCATATTGAGAGTAGTCATCTGGATTTGAAGCCATGGGAATGTTTGAGAGTCAAAGATGATTTGCGTTCTTCGTGGTGTAGTTAGAGATAATAGCTTCAATACCATTACATTACATTCCTTTCTGATGGATACAAGTTCCCCTTTTAAAACCACTTCTATGTCTAAATCTCTGAGTTTAGAAATCGGAGAGGAAATATGACGATGTACTCTCCGAACATCCCCCACTTAAACCCACTATATGTCAGCATCGATCGTTATTCGGAGAGAACTCATAGTGAATTTGGGAAAGGAGTCAGTGGAATGATACTAGTAGACCAGTTCTCGACTCAAACCAGCTAACCTTTTGGAGGAATCTTTCTTGCGTCAATGGCTATCCGGTTCTTAGTTACGATAGCAACGTACGATGTTGTCGGGTTCATGAAGTAAGGGCATTACAAGAGCGCCCGGTTTCATTAATAAGCTTACGGCTGCTTATCAATCTAATAAACATAGCTGTACTACAGCAGGGAAAACATCATGATGGAATTTACTACTCCCTCACGATGTATTGACATAGACTTTGTCTTCTAACAACCATTCTGTCACGGTAATCGTCGACGCGGACATTATTTCGTCTTATCGCAGCTAGGCATTCGTTGTATCACAGTTGTCCAGTTGTTCTGTAACTATCCTTCTAGAAACAAAATATTCCAGGAACAGTGGGTTCATCCTCAAACTAAAGAAGCGGTGTAATGACTCTCCGAATCTGAAAGCCCACCAAAATGGAAATTTGAGTAGTTCATTGCGCATTCAACACATGTGAATTTCGGCCGATCAAAGTCTCGAATAATTAGCTATGCGCTTTGCACTGCCTCAACCATCTGATCTGTAGGAGCCCTGAAACGCCGAGACCCGACGGGATCGCATGCTTGTGGGCCAAGTTTTTCTTACCTATCTCAATCAAGCAGGCTGCGGGATCTTATGAAACCTACTATTGAAGAGTGAGAATGCTATTTAAAATAGTGTGAGCTTGAAAATCGTTTACTGTCCTCCGGGCACCTCAAAACACAAATCATCCAAATCAATGTTTGAAACCCCCCAAAGAACGTACTGTCGCCAAGCTAAGTAAGAAGGATCGCGTCCATAGTCAACTATATGCCGTGACGCGTGATCCTAGCCGAACAACATGGCCTACTCCATAGGGGAGCCTCTCTCCAAAGTAAAGGATAATAAGCAATCAATCAAACCCGATCTCCCACGAAAGCTAAAAATGACGGTATATACTGGAAATGCGGAGCATCGCGTGTTGCCAAGCTCAGGGCCTGCCATGCTCGATGCTGCGCCACGTCCTTCCACACGCAAATGAGACAACGGATAATTACAAAAGAGTCACTCGATGTTACCCCGGAACTGGACACTACTGCATGAAGACCTGCCCGGGCACCATCTCAGTGGGGCTATGGGAGTGCTCACTCTGGTGGCCAGCCGCCAGGGTAACGTACCCTCCCTTCCCTCTGCGCGAGAACGTGCTAAACTGGCCAGGATCATATTGTATGAACACTACAGCGCATGGAGTCCATCGGAATTATTCTATCTACAATAACAAGGATCTTTTCTTCTGTTATTTGGCATACTTCTTGCTCATATTATCTGCTCTTTTTCGTCATAAGTAGATGGCAGGAAATAGGTTGGGGGTTGGTAGTAGTCTAACTGGATTGTTGGCCGTCTTTACGTTGGAGGCCGCACTGGCTGCAACCTCAACCTGGGTCAGCCATGCAGTAATATGCTAGCACTGTCTCTCTAATTGTGCTTCCCAATAATTCTAGCAGCCAGCTTTAGTGACCAACTGAGTGTTAGTTTCGGGATGTTATTTAGGTGCTGTGCAATATAGACGTCATCGAGGCGGCAAGAACGAGTAGAGAAGTGGTCATTGGTGATTGCCTTTACTGTTTAGAACTATCATACGGCATTCCGTAGCACTTTTGGAAGGCCTGCCCCCACAATCTGTGTTTGGAAACGAAAATGCAGGTTGGTGACTACACTGAAGTTAGTTTGTACAGGACAGTGCAAAGCATGCCCTTAACCAACTGTCATGACTACCCAAAGCGAGTAATTACCCAACGTCTAGCAAGCAACCATCGCCTATTCAGCGATCAAAGCCTGTGGCACTTCTTGTGTATAATATTGGGTACCGGAGCATATTGTTTACGGGGCCAACAATTCATATGACTTGGACCCTACCACGGCTTCCGCCTCAGTATAAATATCCTGAATCCGACGTGTCAATGGTCGGCTCCCCTTAAATTACGATTATTTGCTTACAACACCTGCAAAATTTATTAGGGCTTAATGCGCTATCACCAGAAACTCACAACGAGTTCACTATGGAAACTTCTACAGCAATCGAACTTGTAGTCTCGCATGAGACTTTAGTTGACGGGCTCGCTCTCACTTAAAATTACATGGTCGTGGCAGCTCAAAGGTGCATTGTGTATTAGGTAGTCTGAACTGCCAGCATTACCAGAACAGAGGGCAAATATGTTCAAACTCTAAGGCTCTTTGATATCGGATTAAACTGGGATGTAAAATGCCACTCTACGTCAAACCTGATGCTAGTAGCTTCAAGAGAAAACCCCCGGAAAGGTAGGATTATGGAACTAAGGGGAGGGGTGGTGAGCAAGGATCTTGTGTATAACTCTCCGCGCTGCATAACTGTCTCCGCCCGCGCTGCATAACTCTCACCACGCCGATGACTGCTAACGCCGACCACCAGCACACACATCCGTGAATTTTTGGGACATAAGGCGCCTGCAAAATGTGTACTGTTTCTCGCCGACCCATCCCCATTTACCTCTGGGTCTAGTGATGGTGATATTATACCGTGGAACAAAGAGGATGTGAAGTCTACCGATAATTTCCGATGTCACACAGGCTATCTCTCAGACTTGCTCTCGAGAAATAATTTTCTAGCATCCGGTTCGTATGAAAAAACTGTGAGAATATGGGATGCTGCATCTGCTCAATGTTTTAGATCTTAGAAGGTCATTCTAACTACATATCTATCCTAAGCTTCAGTGTGGATGGAACTAGTACACTTTACTCGGGCAGTGATGCGAGTGGGCAAGTCCGGACATGGGACTAGAGAAACGGGCAAGTGGTGCTCTTACAGGGTCATTGATCAGCATCTAAACAAACAATCTACAGGACAACCATAGCAGATAGGCAATCTGAGGCTAGACACGACTTACTATACAGGGATGACGGGCACTTCCCAACTGGTAGAATTGATGCAGTAGTGAGACTTCAGGCAAAGAACGGTACTACCCTTTTTGGAAACTCCGCGCCCGGGACCAATGAGAGGTCTTTTACTGGACGGAAGATTCCTAGTCACGGTCTGAATTGATGGTGGCAAATTCAAGTTGTGAGATTGGCAGAGTGAAAAATGACTGTTTGATATTCAAGGGCCTGTCGGCTTCATTTCTAATATGGCGGAGGATATGGAAAGCTGGCTCTAGCACCTTAGGGAAAAGATAGAAGAGAATCTCATGGCATATCTTCTGAAGTCTCATGAGCTAGGTTATCCCGGTACCTGAGGTGCAAGAGTTCGTCTGTCGCTTGCCGGGTACGATGTATATCATAATTTTGTGTAATTTAATGCAAACTACCTACTGAGTAGCCTGAGGGCGGCAAAGGCTCGGTCTTGATAAAGGTGGTGTTACTCAGGAGCTGTTCCAGTACGACCACAAGGTCCAAACTCAAGCCCCAAGAGTCTGCATGCGGGAGAAGGCTGTGGGCCGATGGAGGCTGAGCACACAATAACCGAATTCGGGTGATCCTGCCAGATTTGGTCCCAGACCTATTAGAACACAGTTGGCGGAAAACCAAGGATCCAACACCCTTGGCAACGGTATGTCAAAAGGACTTCCAGACCACCTCTAATTTCCTTCACTAGGGACGGGTGGGGCCTATTCTGACGCCAAGATTCCATTATCCTGGGATTATAAGTTTATGTTTACATCTAATCTGTAATCAAGACTGTTTTGAGACGTGGGTATCGGACGTTTAAGTACTTGTATGGTTGCTGCCTTCTCAAATGGATAGTGTACCCGGAGGCCAGTTACTGTAGGTTGAGGGTCCAGGCCATCCATACCCCTTGAAGTGGGCTCGGATCTTCCTTTCTACAGCATAATGCACTGTCACCTGAGGGAATATCATACTGAAGTGGAGAGGGCTGTAAATCCTTTTATAACATGAAGACAAGGGAAAGCAGGAGACCGGGTGGTGGGGGATGGCGAGGTATATCGAATGGGTCTTTCGTCCTCGAACCGACTTCAGCTCCTACCTTGACCCAATCACACACCATGCATTCTCCGCCGCCGAGAAAGGCTCCTCCGATTTTTAATCATGTGTCGGGGAGTTTTCGCATTTGGATGCTTGGCTCGGGTGTGAGTAGCAAACAAAAATAGTTTTGTTTGCTGCACAGCCCCTTAGCTACAATATGAATTCCATCTTTTTAACGTGCCATACATATCAGCATTTGGTACATTTTGACGTTTAAACTGCCATGTCGACTTTGAAGATTCATGAATCCTTATGTTTAAGCTTTGGAATCGGAGCCAACGGCTCAAACTCCCTCAGGTCTCGATGAGCCAAGTCGCCAAACCGATCCGCTATCTTCGTTCCCCACCGCTGTTCGTTTTGAAATGTGTTGGGACACTGTTTATTATTCTCTTTCTTGTTGCTAATGTTGCCCTCTGGCACGACACTCAGTATTGGAATGTCCCATCCGTACATCATCCCGCCGGGGCACCGAGGCACAACCACCCGATCCGGAAACTGATGCTCGATGCACGAAAGCGCCATGAAGAGACCCTCACGAAGCGAAGCACCGATCTCATAACTGCTGCCAAAACATACCGAGAGAGACGAGGGAGACACCCGCCACTGGGCTTCGACCGCTGGTTCCAAGCGGCGATGGATAGTGATGCCATTGTCGTCGAGGACTACTTCGACAGAATCTACAAGGACCTGGCACCTTACTGGGCGCTTGATCCTCAGATACTCAAGAGAAGGGCCAGCAGTTGGCATTTTGTGGTTAGGGTACGTGGGGGAACTGCCACCATGCAAGGCGATGTCGGAGACCGTGTGTTGTGGCTGGAACTATGGAATGCCCTGGTGGAAGAGTTTGCCGAACACTTGCCAGACGTCGACATGCCCATCAACTACATGGACGAATCCCGAATCCTCGTACCCTTTGATATCGTTGCCAAGTTGATAGACAAGGAAAAGAAGGAACGAAAGATGGTTGATGTCAAGGAGGTGACGGCGGAGTTCAAGGGCCTTAAAGAGATTGACGAGACGAGCTCCGAAACGTACGAACCCGAGTGGCATGGCCCTAAGGAACAGTTCTGGGATGTAGCCGTCAAGACCTGTGGCCCGAATACGCCCGCATACGGAGTGAAGCAGGTGGCCGATTTGTCTCAACCGAGCGAGTTCCCACAAAACTATACACCGAGCTATGCATACAAAGGGTTTATACAGAACTGGACAGCTGCTATAGACCCGTGTCTTCAGCCACACATGAGACAGCTGCATGGCAGTTTCATCGAGCCTATTTCCCTTCGCTCTACCGAAGAGCTCATCCCCTTGTTTGGCGGGTCGAAACTTCCGATGAATAACGAGATCCTCATCCCCGGGGCGATGTACCTAACACAGAAAGAGTTCTACTCTGGTGGAGAGAGCCATGGACCGACATGGGTGCGAAAGAAAACTCAGCTTGTATGGCGCGGGATGGGGTCTGGCGGCCGCGCCAAGGAGCATTCCTGGCAACACTTCCAACGGCATCGCCTCGTCGATATGCTCAACGGCACTTCTGTGTCCCGTGCAGAGGCTGAAGGCACTAGAGCGATGACGTTTGAACTTCCATCGCACGAAATATACCCCGACTACCGAATCAAGGATGGCCATCTGGGCGAGTGGCTCAATACGTTTGCTGACGCGGGCTTCGCTAAGCTCTGCCCATACGATGAGTGTGAATGGTTAGGCACTTACTTCAAGACTGTTGAATCAGTCCCTATGAAGACGCAGTATCAATACAAGTTTCTCCCGGACGTGGATGGCAACTCATTTAGCGCACGATTCCGCGGCTTCCTCCGATCTACCAGCCTACCCCTGAAAGCTTCCGTTTATGCCGAATGGCACGACGACCGCCTCGTTCCCTGGCTGCACTTTGTCCCGCTTGACAATACATTGCAAGATCTCTTTCCCGTCCTCGACTTCTTCGCCGACGGTGACGGGCCTGGGGACATAGCTGCCCGGTTCATTGCCGAGAGCGGGAAGGACTGGGCCGAGGCAGCACTACGACGAGAGGACATGCGCTTGTATGTGTGGCGCTTATTACTTGAGTGGGCTAGAGTATGCGATGAGAATCGTCACACCTTAGGCTTTGTTGATGATATACAATACTAGGGCGATGGCTGAGGTGTTTGTTGCCCATCATTGAATGGCGGATTCTCTCAGCTCGTGTGTAATTGCATCACCATGGGTAAACGCGAAGCGCCTCATTGGCGTGCCAGATACAGGGTGCTTGGTGCGATCTTTTACTTGTACTTTAGATACTTTCTGGGTCAGTGGCTACTGCGGCCTAGGTAAAGCTGTTTTTTCAGAGGTCTTCTGTGTATAAAGGTGTAACTAGCTACAATAATTAAAAGATACAACAATTTTAATGCATACCTGGTCTCCTAGCACTTTCTGTAAGGAAAATTGATAATTATCAACGATCAAATTCGAGGTTTTGGAAGTAGAAAACAACGATAGCCAGTTCTATTAAGAGTAAAAAAGCTGGATTCAGGGAGTGGACCCTTACTTGGTATCATGGATCGGAATGGAAACTAAAATCAAATCCGTTGCCAACAAAGACAACTAGTCTTTTGACTCTGAAAATAGTCAGGGATATCCCAACTACCTAAGTAGCGGAAGAAGGTAATACCTTTCTCGTTCATGTCTCGCCGCTAGATTCCTACTCCAAAGGGATTTCACTGATAGTTCTCAAGATCTGCAGTGCGAATAAAATGAGAAGTATCCTCCTTTTTCTTACACGTTGAGCATTCTGAGTTCACTGGGAGGCAAGCATTGCTTCTTGTGGATGAACCACTGTGCTCGTTGGCAAGCCTGCGAGTTTCCCGCGTTAGATCTTAATAGGCAGATCCAGCATGGTCATGGATAAAATAATTACCTCAGAGCAATACCATACACGCCGACAGCGACCACATCTCTTGGGAGCGAATCCTAGATCAGCTTGAATTTTGCCACAGTTAAAGCAGCTTGGTTCCTGGAAGCTTCGCGGGGTGCCCGCAACGTAGTTGTCCAAGGCGGCGAGCAGTTGAGCCCTGCCAGGCTCACGGAATCCCGTGTCAAATACGGGCAGAGTGAATGCGTAGGTGCACTTTATCTGTGGCACTAGTTCCCGAATATGCTGAATATGCTCGGGGTTGATCCTGGCTCCAGCGCGCATCATCAGCGCGCCTGCGAGGATAACGCGGTACTTGTCGTCATGGCTGCTCTCTCTTGCGCGATGTTTTTCGAAGAAACGGTCTCCTAGACCTGTGTCAAGTTGATTGCGGACCGTGGTGACGGTTTGGCTGAGCTCGGCTTTGTATTGGTTGGACTTGTAGTATTGAAAAGCCTGCCGAGACACCAAAATCTCTGTGCGGCGGACCATCTCGCTCAGCTGCATCGGTCTCGCACTGAAGGTTCGACCAAGATCTTTGGCGATGTCGAAGTCCTGTTCGCCCTCGAAAAGGCCTGTATCGGAGAATAGAAAGTCAGTGGCTAGGGCATTGAAATGGAGGCTGGTAATCGACCTACGGTATCCCCAGCGGCCCATGGCTGCAGAAACGAGCCTAATTTTCGGGATCCGAGAAACTTGGGCGTGAGGGCAGGCTCTGTTTGACGAAAGAACTGTCAATTTTGGTGCAGATGGGAGAAATAGAGGTGGAAGACGAAAGAGAGAAACAAGGAAGGTGAAAGGCAGTGGCAGGTGCCTTGACTTCCTCCTTCCACTGCTACAATAGCAGGCAGGTACGTACGTTGTACCTCTTGCTCCCAGCTACATGCAACTGCCAAAAGATCAGGCATCTCGCCACGCGTCACGGTGGACAGCACTGCCTGGCCAATACAAATTAGCTGTTCGAGTACAGCCGTTGGCGCTTGTGATTCAACCTGTCGGGCTTTCTCTCTGCATGACGGTTTAAATTACCTCTAGGCATACATCAACACAGAAGATTGATGAGTACAGTACAGATACCACATATTCGTTTGGGATAGAAATTAAATATGGGGATACTCACTACTGGGAAAGACACGATCATGCTACAATTGATGCTCAGAGTTTTCAAGAGATTGCGATCCCAGTCACCCCATTCTAGACCCTTACTTCCTTAACAGATTGCCAGTCTATGGGACTATACGTTATAGTAACCTCAGCGTTCAGCTTTACCAGATATAATGAAAACCTATGAAGGAACAGGCTTGGCCGTGGTTCACCGTGCCTCATATTGCCAAACAGGGGAGAAATTTGGTAACTGGTCACCATTTTCTAGAACGAATCAGACACATAAATAAGAAAGTTGAGCCTGCACCAACTGTATTGTAAACTACTGTACATGACAAGGATAGCCTAATTGATATTAACTAGGCCTTCCAAGTTTTGTGGAGGAGAGTTTACAGATCCCCCCTTCAATACGCATTGGCAATCAATCTGGGGGAGCTTGCATGTCCAATTGAACCAAAAATAATAACGCCTGCCGTGCTAGCTTTCTTTTCGGTACGGCATTTAAATTTATTCTTGGCTCTGCACAGGTTCCGTCGAATCTTTCGGCACATGGCGGCGTCAGCTTTCTCCAAAGTCCCTTATTATTAAACCCCAGGAGTGGCAATTTTGCCATCTGGCAAGGCTGTGCTGACAGTCGCTGATCCGCAGCGAGACAAAAATAGCGATCGATAGGCCAGGAGCATCTTGGAAGGAAATAATCAGACGTCAACATGCAGCCGATCACTTCCTAGCTCTGCTAGATTCCCTTTCTCTTTGGTCAGATTTGGCTCGCCCCATCTATCTTAAATCTCGGCCCCGTTCAACCCTTCTTTCGCAAGTACCAAGTCCAACAAAGCATCAGGTCCGGCCATTTGGCTTCGTCATTCCAGATATCATCGTCCAGCGTAGCCCCCAGATGCAAGATGCCCGGCGTACCGAGATCCAAGGGGTGCCAGACGTGCAAACGTCGCAAGATCAAGGTGAGTGAAGCCGAGTAACCGGTCGCCAATCGCGCGCGCCTTGTTTCGTTCCGGTCGCTGACGTAGCTCATCGCGCAACTCATGCTGACAGCTTCCAGTGCGACGAAACGTGGCCTACATGTATCCAGTGTAGGCACATCAATGCCGACTGCCCAGGGCCAACATCGCTCGTCAAGTTCATCAATAATGGCTCCCACAGGGATAGTCATTCGCCTCCAAGCGATGGACGCCGCTCAGCATTCAAGTCGCCGCCTCTCCAGACCCAAGCCTCAGGCTCCTCGACGCTCCAGCTGCGGAGAGTCTACTACCCCAATGTTGATGACAGGAGCGCAGAATACGGCCTTCTCCAAGTCACGCCTCCTCGCGCGAATCCCACAACCCTTGCTGAGCGTGTGGCGACTCGTCTCGTCGGTAACCTGGACAAGGGCGCCAACGGCATCACCAGCCTGCAGATGAGCTATCTGCCGCAGCTGCCGAGTCGCCTCGCCGATAGCCCCTGCCTGCGCGACTCTGTAGATCTCTTCTGCGCGGCCTGGACCGACTTCCGCCGTCGCCAGCCGCAGGGGGAGCTGATGGCGATGCCGCAATACGGGAAAGTGCTCCGTAGTCTAAGGCGTACCCTGATGAGCGAGCAAGCCTTGAAAGTAGAGACGCTTGCTGCAATGGTCCTTCTGGAACGTACCTGCAAATTATTTGACCGTGGAAAGTTCTCCAGCATTCATCATCAAGGAATCTTGCAGATGATGGAGCGGAAGGGACCTCCTGATCTGAATGACGACTTGGACATCACAGTCACAAATGAGGTTCATGGGCTCATGGTAAGTATTCATTATCATACTACAACAGATATAGATCGAACACACCTAACAGGCATTTTCTTTACAGATCAGTGGGTACAGCGTGGCATCTTGCGCCAGCTTTATAGAGAAGTCTGAGTGGCAAGATGTGATGCAAAAATGCGCGTTCAAGCATCCAAAAGTATCCAACCTTGAGCCTCTCACATCCATAGATTTAATGATCGTCTACGACTTCAGCAGAGATATATTTTCATGGCTGAATACAATGCACCAGATTCGGACGGACCCTCATGGCGATGAGAATGAGGCCGTTTCCATCATTTTTGAGCAGAAGCTACGAGACATGCTCACCAAAGTTCGCAAGCTGGCCGTAGAATCATTCGGATTGGCGATGAAAGAGGGAGCTGTGACTGAGAGGGATGATCCCACTTCCATCGTTGGCAAGCGAATGGACTTCAAGGGCGCTCTTATGTGCCAGGTGTTCATGTCTCTCCATCTGATCCAAATGACTGCTCTGCGCATGCTCTATGAGATGAGCATCGTATACGGCTCTCCAGACCCAGAGCTGTGGGATCAATTCCGAGAGGTTGCCCTCGACAACTGGAAAGCGATGCCATACATCTTATCGCTAGAGTCAATCGTCGCCTCAAATGCGGTTGCAACAGTGTTCATCAGTTATGAGGCTGGGAATGAGGAAGAGAAACTGTATCTCCAGAACGTCATGCTGTCTGTGGATGAATATTTAGGGCGGTATCCAAAGGATAGAGCGGTGCTGGACACCGTTATTCTCGAAGCTGGAAAGCTGCTCACTGGGCGGAAACCTGTGTTGAAGGACTTACCAAACAATAGTTAGGGGATCCTGATTCCCGCGAGAGAGAAAATGCATATATTGAGATGGAAGGCACAAACAAGTTTCACGGTCGTTCCACACAGCAATACAGGTGCTCTCCTGTCCAAAAATACCTCGGACACCCTCACTCTACCAGATATCTACGCTCCCGATGCCCCCCAATGGTTCTAAATCCAGTGAGCAGCCCGTGATCGACATTTCAGCTGAATGGGCTAAGCATGCAGGTTGCAGTTCTGCGATTAGCACGAGCCAATAAATTGCGCTGATGGCTTCTATGGCTGCAGACAGCTGATTTTCAACGTATCATTTTACTGACTGGTCACATTGCCTGCTGCACATTACCACTCCGCTGCTCACCGATTCCCTCAACGAGATATACACCGCTATGGAAGGGTGCGGGGTGCTATTTCCAGGCTTGGCCACTTGCATTGCGCCCGGTTAGACATTTGCGTATGAATGAAGCCGTACTTCAGCACATGGGAAAAAACCTCATACATTATAAAGAGAGCTTGCTGCATCTTAATTTTATCACCTATCCCAGTGATTCAACAGCATCCGCACACTATGGGTACCTCAAAGCTCAGTCAGCATGATACTAAACAAGACGCGTTCGTGTCTGAGGAGCCAGACCAGACGAGAGGAGGCGAGACGGCTTTGCCTCCAAATGACTCCCAAGAGGAGGAGAGCATCATTGCTGCCAAGTTAGCAGCGGAGAGAGAAAAGGACATGGGAGTTTGGCAGGCCATCAGAGCCTATCCCAAGGCTGTCTGTTTTTCCATGATACTCTCAATGAGTCTCATCATGGAAAGCTACGATCTCACCTTGACGAGAAATTTCTTCGGCCTGCCTCAATTCCGGAAGCGCTTCGGCCATCCCCTTGACAACGGAGACTACCAGTTGACCTCGAGCTGGATGTCTGGCCTCCAAAACGGCACCCAAGTCGGGCAGATACTTGGCTTGATGCTGGCGGGTATCCTCACTGAGCGATACGGCTACAAGAAAACCATCATCGGATGTATGCTATCCTTGACCTGTTTCATCTTCCTCTTCTTCTTCGCCACACGGATCGAGATGCTCTTTGCCGCAGCCATTCTCTGCGGCCTGCCCTGGGGTGCTTTCCAGACCCTCACAACCACATATGCGGCGGATGTCACGCCCCTCGCTCTGCGACCGATTATGACCACCTTTGTGAATATGTGCTGGACCATTGGCTATCTCATCAGTGGCGGCGTGTTGCGTGGACTTTTAGGTCGAAAGGACGATTGGGCGTGGCGAATTCCCTACGCCATCCAATGGGTCTTTCTTCCCCCCTTGATCATCGCAGTTCTATTTACGCCCGAGAGCCCGATCTGGCTGGTCCGAAAAGGTAGACTTGATGACGCACGAAAGTCCTTGAGGCGCCTTACATCGACCAGCACGTGGCCAGAGGAGGAGATTGAACGGAAGGTGGCATTGATCGAGTACGAAAATAGGATGGAGAAGAAGCTGACGGAGGGCGTCTCGTATCTCGACTGTTTCAAAGGAACTAATCTCAAACGCACCGAGATAACTTGCTGTGCGTGGCTGGCACAGATAGCTTGCGGAGCCAGCTTCGCTAGCAACGGCACATATTTCCTACAGCAGGTCGGGCTCGACCCTGCTCAGTCGTTCAATTTCAGTCTGGGAACAAGTGGCCTAGCTTTACTCGGAACTCTTCTGGCTTGGTTCATACTTACCCGGGTGGGACGACGAAGGCTCTATCTCTGTGGGCTGACCTCTCTGTTCCTGATCCTCCTGACTATTGGTTTCATGGGAATCCCCGCGCCGATGCCCGGCGTGGCCTGGGCATCAGGAGTCCTGTTGATGATATTCGTAGCCATCTACGACCTCACCATTGGCCCGATCGGGTACTGCCTGGTCTCGGAAATCCCGTCTTCCCGCCTCCGGATCAAGACGGTCATCCTGGCCCGGAATACGTACAACGTCGCCAGCATCTGCGCCAACTTCCTCAACCCGCCAATACTCAACCCTACGGCCTGGAATCTTCGAGGAAAGGGAGGTTTCATATGGGCTAGCTTTTGTCTTCTGATCCTCGTCTGGTCTTATTTTCGGTTGCCCGAAACAAGGGGGCTGACGCAGGCAGAGATAGACCTTCTGTTCGAGGAGCAAGTAAGCACGAAAGACTTTGGAACCACGGAAGTCGAACCGTTTCGTTCAGTTGGATAATTTAAATATTGGGATTCATCAGGGACGGCCAGTGAAGAAATATTGCGAAGCTGAAAAACTGAATTTCATACATTGTAGTCAAGGGCGGTGGTCTCTATTGTTGAAGCATAATCTAAAATCCCATCCACTCATCTGCCCGGGGTGCAAGTATTTTCTCATGTTGTTCCCACGTAATTTCAGGCATCTGCTAGGGCAGAGTCCTATCTAGACTCAAATAGATCAGGCCGACTTCACTTTCGTGCTCAGGTTTGAAAAGAGAAACGTCTCCAGAATTACTCTCAACTCAAAATCAATGCCTGCTCCCCTCCGGATTTGCACCAAAGTCTCCCCATCACCGGGCTCAACTGTTACTGCCGCAAAGAGAAAGGGCATCGATGTTGGAGCCGATCTATGCAGCGGATTTGGTTGGAAGGGGAGTGGACCTTGCCACCACAGCCGCGCAGGTTCGTCGTCCCAGACAACCCATTTGAAAGCTTGAGGTTTGGCAGCTCGACCAGGCACCTTGACGACTGGTATCTCGCTGCTATAGTCGTGGCATGCACAGCCGCTACTTGTGCAAAAGACGGGACGCCAGTGCGCGTCAGGCTCAGTGGGTGAGGAAGTGCATATCGTGGCCACAGGCACTTTCTTGCCTTTCCGATCACTTGATGCGCGTGCTGCTACAGCAAGAGCAGGGAGCGTGGTATCAGACGCAGAGAAAATTTGGATGTTGCCCACTTTGGTAGGCCCAAGGATGAGTTCGATACGATAAATGGGTGTAGGGTCTACCGTAAGAGATAGATGGTAGGTTGAATCAGAAACACGAGTGATAGAGAAATGGTCGATATAGCCATCGCTTATTGAGCACGTTTGGATGCTACCACCAAGGCGGCTGGGGTAAGGGAGGCGGCTGGGCTGAGCACTAGGAGCTATCGTTTCTTGAGTAGAAGAAGGCTTCTCCTGGTAGGGAGGCAGGCCATCGGTATTAGAAGACATTTTGAGTGGTGAGAAGATGATGGCGATGGTGATGGCTCCTATTGGCGCTGTGGTTGATCGAACTCAAGAGGGGGAAGCAAGGTACTTGAGTCTTGGAGAGCGTCAAAACCGGTGCCTCGTCAGTCTGAGCCACGCCACCCACTTCTCCAACCCTACAGTGGGTCGTTGATCGAGTGATTTCGCTCTATATTTCCGCCCTGGGTTAATGTGTGGCAGTTTCTTACCAACAAAATGGTGGATACGAGCCGCCGTGCAGCTTCTGCATAAAGCTGCAGCAGAACCAACAGCATATACACCTAGCCACGAGAACATGAGAATATGGCTTCCAATTAATTCAAGTTATATGAGCAATTTTGTAGGCTCCGCTGAGTAGTATGGCTACGGGCAACCAAAGATGCTTGGGCTTGTCCTTCCGGTAGGTCCCTCGACTCATTCGAGTTATTTTAGGATTCGTTGGTTCTGATATAAGGCTCTCGGCTACAGGGATGATAATAAAGAACACCTACAGTATATTATCTTTTCTTAGCTTTATAATGCTCAGTCCTTGATCAAAACATCCGTTATAAAATTATCGATAGCGAGGTCACAGGAAGAATTAAAATCATTATCTAGCCTGTTTATAGTAAGCTTTTGTGCTGATTTTCCACAATAGCGATTTCTATAACATGATAGTGATTTTGTAACACTATTTATCGCTTGCTAATTATACCTAATACTAATATAAGTTAATGCTAGTAAACTCTTAATAAGGACTTTTACTTTATAGGTAAGGACTAAGATGCTTTATATGTTGCTTAATAAAATTCATTCACAGCCTATTTACATTCTAATTGATTGATTTAGCTCTTCCCCTATTACATGACCGGATTTTAACTAAAATGGATTCTCCAGAGCTCTCTATCACAGCCTGCCGTGAAATCGCTTCGGGTGTGCATGGTCAAAATGTTATCACTGATCAAAAGGTCACCCTTTTCCCAAATATGATAGTAGGCCACGCGGCGGTCGTGAAGAATAGAATCGAGCACTTCGCAGACAGCCTCGCTCTCTTTGTCACTGACATTTTCGATGTTGACGTGAGTCTCATCGAAAACGGTTTTGCTTCGAGGCCAAGGCTCATGATATCTCAAGCAAGGCTTTTCGGTCGTAGGGTGGGGGATGACCAGTTGCAGACCACCCATAGCCGTGTTGTCGAATGAACTCGTTGATACCTTCCAGGTCAACTTCTTCAGAGTGTCCAAAGGAAGCCATGAGGGAAGGTATTTCAAGATAAGAGTAGAGGAAGAGAATAGAGTGAATCCTGTATCTCTTGGGGATGGTGTGACTCCAGTGAAGAATTGGAAGCTATAAAGTGTAAGCCTTGATCCGATATAAAACGCTTAGAGAGAAGTTTACTTACTGAGGAGGATTTGGAACCAGATATTCCCGCCCATTTTCATCTACCTTCTGAACAGTCTTGAACATGCCGTCGAAATGGAATGGCATCCATTCGGCCGAGAGAACATTATTTAAACCTCTCGTCTCCAGTCCTCGGTCCTTGACTTCCAGAACGAGGCCGAATTTCCAGGGAAGTGGCTCGCCGAACTCCTCTGCCTTCTTAACGAACAGTTCGCGGTTCGCCTTCTTCCAGAACCCACGGAGAAGTACAGGTGAGTTGATTTCTGACAAAGCCCTGACCTTCTTGGCATCAATGTCGTGAATACCTAAAGCTCCTGGGCCAGCGGCAGGACGAATGATGAGACCACAAGGGTAAATGGGCTGACAGACGATACCGCCTTTCTCTTCTCCCCAGGACAAGAGATCAGACTTTTCTCGGAAGTAGTTTGGGCGGCCGTTCTCGTAGATGAGCTCCAATTTCTCGTCTGCTTCAAACTCGGACCGCATACCCGAGGTGATGGTTCCGTCTAGCTTATAAGCAATAGTGCAGTGCCATGGGGTAGTGTAAATCGTCGAGGTGGGGAGAAGACTGATTGACAGCTTGTTTGCTCCTGTAGAGGGATGGATAGAAAGGCGTATGCTATCCTTGTACTTCTCTTTCACTGCTTGTGCGAATGCCTGTGTCCTTATTAGCCCATTATTTTTCGAGTAGAATATCACCGGAACTTACATCTCCGCGGGATAACATCTGTTTGGCAATATACTCAATGCCTCGCTTATATCTGGACTTTGACCGATCCTCTCCTTGGGGGTAAACGGTGAGTAAATCAGTCTCCAGGAATTTGATATAACCTCTGTAGGTCATGCAAACATCTTCGCTTTTGCTAATCTCTTTCCAGTCCCAGTCAGGGCGGCTAAACGTATTCAGGAGAGCCAGGCGGAAGTTGGATGCATTTGCAACGTATGTCATTTCATCAAGGTTTTCGGGAAGGGGGATCGAGACCAAATCTCGCAGCCTTGAGAAAAGGATGTGCTCAAATCCCTCCTTCTTCGCCATTTCCCTGAGCATTTCGCCATATGCCCACACATTCTTGTCTGGTACTCCAAGCAGGTCTTGAAGAAAAACGGCCAGTCAGTAACGCATTTACCGATACAGGGTAGGTTCATATTTCTTACCATTGTATACAAGACCATCAGATATGATGGTAAGCTTTGCCCCAGGCGCATAAACATCCTGAATAGCGCTACAGAGACCGTTCAAGTGAGACAAGGCAAGAACCTCAGCCCTGTCAGGCAGTACTCCCAGCACCTTGGACTCGGAGTTTGGTGACTTGAATGGAAATGCCGGGAGGCACATAGGAATGGCTTCACCAGTCTTGACATGATTGTAAATCAGGGCGATGAATTTCAAAGCACCTTCATCCGCCTTTTCTGGGGCGTTGATCGTCTTGCTCATACGGTAGCGATCGATGATTCGGAGGATCTTGGAGGATGTTTCAATAGCAGCAGTATCAACCGTGGGAATTAGTGGCCCAAAGGGAACACTCAGTGACACAGGCTGAACTGGCTGAGGCTCAAATTTGAGACTGTTCGGCCCATGGGCCATGGCATCGACCGCAACTGGCATCTTCTGTTGTATATGGTCAAGACAGGATAAATGAATTTTGCTGAAGTAAACCAAATAATGAAGGACGTGTTCACTGGAGATGAAGGGACAGGAAGACGCGCTCCTGAAGAGGTCAATCAGCTTCAGCAGGTAAAGAACAACAGTCCCGGGGCTGTGGCGCCGGATCTACCAGTTAACTAGGACACATATAGGTACAAAATTACCAAATTCCTCTTCTCTCGTTTAGCCACGGCGTTGGTTTTTTATGCAAGTCCCAGTCTCGGGGGCACTTTGACAACCGGATGCGAGCTGAGAAATGGATCAAGGTCAGATGCTACCCAAGTCGCCCACTTGGTCAGGGGTAAAGATCGTTGCGATGGGGCCGCTATGGGAAGGATCTTTAGGCCAGGCTTCGGGGCTATACGGATTTGGAACTTGTGTTGTAGGGCTCGCTGATCCTGTTTCTTGTGATCCCCAACTTCATCAGGGAGGTTTTAACAAACGACCTTCCGTATTCCGCTTAGCACTAGTTGCCACATGCTACGCGCGCGGTAGGTTTCGGGCCCGGCCCAACCAAGGAAGGGAAGAAGATGCATGGAAATGGCTCGGTTGGAACAGAATGGGGCGATCCGGAAGCTAGAATAGATCTCACTTGGCCGGGGCGGTGCTTCACGGCGTATCCATATCATCGGGCACTTACTGATTCGAGTTTCACCACTGGCGGACTTCGGAGTCGAACGATGTGTCATCTAGGTACTTTTGTATTCTAGACAAATCCATTCAAGGGTTCATTATCCAAGGGTTCATTGGAGGCTTCGGAATTGTAATAAGGTAGCCACACGTAAGGTGCAAGATCTACTAGACAGCAAACATCTCAAGCTCACCTGATTGACTTTGCAATCTGTATTCCGCCATGTCTCCAGCCGAAACTCACCAAAACGACACCACAGATGTCGATGTGGCAATTGTTGGAGGCAAGTCGTTATCTGACATTAGTTGGTTGCCATTTTCTAACTGGGCTGTCAGGTGGTCCAACGGGGCTCTTCAACGGACTCCTACTACACCGTCTAGGGGTCTCAGTATCTATCCTGGGTATGTGTTTAAACTAACGGCAAGCTCTGTTCCTACACTATACAAAACTAACATTGTCAGATGCCAAAAAAGAGACTCTGGATTTTGGCAGGGCCGATGCCCTCAATGCGCGTACACAGCAATATCTCGAGGTCGCCGGTCTGCTAGATGAGCTTCTCCCTCAAGGCCTCGAATGCAACAGTATGGAATTTCCTTGTTTTTCTCCTTCTTGGAGATTACAACGTATATCCGCTCACATATGATTTAGCCAGCTCTACATTTGCCAAGGGTGAATTCAAGTCTCGCCAAAACGATTGGTGGGTTAGCCTTGAGCACACGCTCCACAAGAACTTCCTCATGCTCGGGCAACCAGTCATAGAAGCAATGCTATGCAAGCGCCTCCCGGGACTCGTTCACTTTGGAGAAACTGTGACCGAGATTTCGGAGGGAAAGACGCAAGTGGAAGTCATCACCAGTACAGGCCGTCGTGTACGGGCCAAGTATGTCATCGGTGCCGACGGTGCTAGATCCACGGTACGCAATGCCCTTGGCATTTCATTTACCGGTACCAAGCCGGAGATGCTGTGGGCTGTTATCGACGCCTTCATCGAGACGGACTTCCCGACATGCCCCGAAATCATTACGTTCCAGATCAATGGGCAGTCCCGAGTTTCATGGATCCCTCGAGAGCGTGGGTTATCTCGGTTCTACGTCTTGTTAGAGGGCGAGGTAACCGAAGAGCGGGCCAAGGAGTCTGTGAAGCTTCATCTTGCTCCATACAAGGTGGAGTTTACCAAGGTTGAGTGGTACAGCACTTTCGACGGTAAGTCGTTCGGAACCGTTCCGAAGTATAGAAAGGCATCGGCCAACTAACTCCGCATAATCAAAACAGTCAAAGAAAGGCTTGCCTCTTCCTTCATCTCCAATGGTGGAGATGGCCGGGTTATCT